CTCTACAAGCCACACAGCACTTTATTGGCTCTATTTGGTTAACTGCAAAATGCTTCCAGGATATGCTCGCGTATCCACAAAAGTGTATAAAGTTGCATCATCGTGGACGATATCCGAACTTGACAGGCTTATATGGGTACTTGAGAGGTTGGTTCTGTGCGCACATCGAAAAATGTTTTTAAGAGACTGTATGTTATCTACGGAAGAGATTTTAAGATTTTTTCCCGCGAAGAAAAGTGGGGATGTAAGTTTTATCAGGCGTCTTATCATACCTAGGTTGAGCGACTGGTTTCATTGTGTCTAGCTCATGAAGGAATTGTCTGCAATGAAACACTTTCGTCAGGGGCGACATCGACTAAAGAAAGCTCCATCGAGGTTCGCATATTCTTGATTGGTTATTGATTAGATAATAAAAAATAGTATCAGGTCTGTTGCTCCTGCTCCATTTTCTCCAGGATCGGTTATTTCGTCGGTAAGTCTCTCATTTGTTTTGAGCTTATACTTTGTAGATGGGTTCAAATGCCGTTTTTTTCTTGTAAGGTTTTAAGGGGCATAGCTCAAAGTGAGCGCTCTGACGCCGATGACAATGGTTTGAATACGGTCAATCATAGAGGGTCCAAATCAATTGACACACCCAACTATGCCAACCTTTATGAGTATCTTTCGGAGTTATTTATGTTTGCTCGAGTACCCCAGCGCCTCGACAACGGTAGCGCAGCTGTCATACTTGACATGATCATTTGGTTTGTTTTTATTCCATTATCATCAGTTAATTGCTTAGCTTCTTTTGAAACATTTTTCAACTTCTGTTTGACTAATATATGCGTTAAATTTCTAAGACAAACATCGTACGTGTTAATCATTATTATCAACACTTCTTGGGCTAATCATCGGACGAACATCCGAATTTATATTTACTTTTATAGTTTTCTGAGGGGTTAGCGGATGACAAATTTGTAAATGCTAATTTCGCTATTAAAATTGTCAGTTATTAGAGCTAACATATTTCGTAGATATGCTGTCGTACACGACAGACCTATCCAGCTATGTTGAGGCTTGAGTGCAGCAATTCGAAGTTTTTCACCCTTATGCGACAGATATAACTTCATGACGGTTAGTAAGTTAGTACTTTGTACTCGGCAGACGTGTTCTTATGCGTCTTTTCATATAATTTATTTCACGATGAACACGTGCTCTCCCTCTGTAAATCTGCCGATACGTGTGCTAATGATTGTTGCCCAGCACTTCTATTTCCGCATGATAATTCTTTTATTTTTTGAAATGGCTGATTACTTGTATTATCTTTAACTATCAATTTATAGAATTTGGCAGTCTGTGTATTAATTTGTCTATACTTTTAATCAACCCGAGTTTGAATGGTATTTTTTGTTGTCAGTCTTTTACAGGCTACTGACTACTTACTTTCAAGTGACTCCGCGACGGATCTCGAACAGACATTCTCGGACATTAGGGAGAAAGTTTCTGTCCTGGTTTCGGCTCTTACAGTTTCTTTCAACCAGCGGTTGGAATTTCTCAAACGAATGTTTTCTTCGAAAATGTATGATGTAGATTCACTTGCAGCAGGTATTCCGCAGGACTTCGCTTCCGCTTGCACGCGCCCAAACGCCCTACCCTGTCCAGCACCTCTTATCATTTTAAGGGAAACTCGGTTCCCTCTTGCTGTCGGCAAAACTTCTCTGTTGAAAAAAGCCTTAAAAAGTGCGGTTGAGATGTGTTGGCAGTGTAAGTAAAAATACTTTAATCGATGCAAATTCCTTAATTTGAAAACTCCGATCAAACCTCCTTTATTTTCTTCCCAATGATCCATTTTCCTGCATTATTGAATCGCTTGTTTACGTCTTCGCCAATCCTGGAGAACATTTGAACAAGTATAATCATTTGTTCCACCGATCCCTCTAATTTCTATTAAACCCTCTCTACTGCTGTTTGAACCACCCACTGTTAAGTGTAGGAATCGTGCCTTTGTGTGTTTATTATACGCCATTGACTACGTCAATCAGTTTAAATCATGATGTGAAATTGGGTTTTTAATTTGTAAATACTCTCCAAGCATTTGAGGGAATCTGTTTGTTTTCTCTCATTATTGTCTCTCCGCAGTTCCTACATTCGATAAACATGATAACCCTCAGAATCTGCAGGAACGACTGGCTGAGTTTGTGATGAATCCTCTGGGAGTGGATAGTGGTAAAGCACCCTCTGTGTGCCACCTCTTTTCCACAACAAGCCTGTTACTGCGACATTACGAGGAAGCTATCATTTCGCACTTCGTACGTCCGCCGTTACTAACTGCCCCAAAACCTTTCGCCGTGTAAGTGCATTCTCCTTCATGTATAGATAATCAATTCCAGGGTCATTTCACTTTCATGTAAGTGTTTTTTTTTGAAGCAACCATGTAGACCTCCCATTGTATAAGGCCCCCTTAATTCGATGGCTTAAACTCTCATCTTTAATGCCGCATTAACTCTCGTAGTACACGAATGAAGTCCACAGAGGCGTGACGTGTGTGTTTTTGTTATTGGCAAATCGTAACAGTCAGCCTTTAGCTCAAAGCGCTGTTTGTGTTAGTCTAGGGAACAAGTCATTGCAGTTAATAATTAATTCAATTTTTGTTCCATGTCAAGACATTAAAATAAAACACCTAGTTGAAAAGGGGTGTAGTGAGTAAATTTAATAATGCCGCAATAACTTTTCTCGAACCATTTCTTAATTTAAAAGAAATTGGAATGTTTTTAAGTGTCCCCAAGAATCCACAATAATAGTTATATCCCTCTTTCAACTCGAACGTCATAAGAGGACCAAAAGTTTGGTAATTAGCTAAAATGAAATATTTTTTTCCGAAATCCGTACATGTAGAGTTTTTGACACTAGTGGAGGCAGTTTGTTGTAACAGTTACTGCATTAATTGATGTACCGCAGTGTTCCCACGTTTGGTTCCTAAACGACAAGACCAAGAACTCCGGTTAAAATTGGGGCAGTACGAACTCGATTCGGTTCACAGGTTCGCTGCCTCGGTTTGGCTGAATTTGTGTTTGTGCTTCAACAATTAACTGATCACGTTATGTCGAATTTGATTATTGTCCACTGAGCACGTTATACCAATGGTTCGAATAGTTTGGTGTAAATTATCTAAAATTTTTACCTGACGAGTCGATTGCTGAAAAAGTTTTTTTCGTAATTTTTTAGTCGAAGAGCACTGGCAAAATCCGCTGCAAAACTTCTTGCTACCGCTCAGCCCTGCAAAACCGTAAGTTCGGCCCAAATAACTTAAATATATGCCTCACACGCACAGGACGTCGATTTGCTTTCATACGTAGAAGGTCAGCCAGTCGCTCCGTCGAACGACAAACGCCATGTGTCGTCATACCTACTGGCTGACGACACATGGCAGTACATGTCTCGTGGCCGCACTTACAAGTGATGCGTAGATTTTGTTAAGACTCGCGTTTTTTCATTGCGCTGATTTGCATAGGAGAAACCAATGTTTAACCTTTAATCTGTATCCCTGAATTTTATCTGGCAAAAACCTGTTTTTTTGGAGTAAATGCCTTACTAAGGATGACTCCTGTCAAGAGCCTTTATGTAGTGTCATGGTACATGGTCTTGATCCTAGGCAATCTATATTTGTTTAAAAATTTACCTTAGGCAAAACATCAACGTTCACATCGTCGCTGTTTTGGTGCTTTTAAATTGATTTGAAGCGAGGATGTATGTATTGAGGAATTTGCCAAGTGCAAATTTCCATGTCTCAGAACTAATCGAAAGATTTGGAATTTGGTGAGATTTAATGCCTAGTTGGAGAGCCTCGACAACAAATTGTCGTAAAAACCGCTTTGTATGATTTGCAAGCATTGCAACCGCTGTTATTTGAAAAAAAAGCACCAAAAGTGTTCTTTTAATACAGAATCTTGTTCGCCGCGTCAGTCAGCACGTAACAAAACAGGAACTGGACAGGTACATAAACTCGGTAAGCTACTTGTTTTACACTTTCATCAGCACTGTGGTCGACTAATGTTAACCTTAATTTAAGTCATTAGAACACATTCTAGTTTAAAATATTTGGCCCTTGCTTCTGGATCGCCTCATCACGTCTTCCTATTTTGTTCTGCGTACTCAAGCTTCAATTGCTCAGAAGTCAGTGGTTACCTCTGAGGAAAAGCGATTCACAACCTCGTCACATTTTCATTCCTAATTTTTTGCTCATAGGTACACGTGCCGAGATCTGACGCCCCGCCGACAGCAATGAGGACCAAAATGGTTCTGGTAGGTTTAGAAGTTACTCGCCTACATTCTCTCACCCGCACATAAAAAATACATCAAGCCCAATATTTAACTCCGTTCGAAGCAATTGATGAGGAGCGGGATGAATCGACGCGATTCTTAATTTTTTTTTAGCATACCTGCAGACGCCCCAAAAATCAAGGAAAAATAGGCCGTCCTGAACTATTTTTAAAATCGGTAAGTGTCATTCCGCCTCACAAGTTTTCTGGACTAAACTGACTTCGAAATCGATAACGCAGATTCCTAAGACGCTATTGCACAAACACAAGTAACTTTTAGTGAATTGTGTGAAGTAGGGCTGGTAATCTTAAATTTCCGCTCCCATGCACTACAGGATTTCACTTGCTTTTAGGATATCCAGAAAAGAGTCCCCAAATCGAGGTCGCGTGAAAAAGGAGATCGTGGCGAGAAATCGTGAACCCTTAGTTTGATAAATAAAGATTAAACTTATTTTTGTATCCACCGAATGTTGTGTCACGACCGAATAGCCAACAGGGCTGCGATTTTTGTGGATTTTCCAGTTACGAGATTAGCATTCAAGTGGTGAATTACTGTAAAAACACATAATTTGCGTTTCAGTAGCCTTGAACCAGGTCCTAAAAGATGGGGTGATACGACCAAATAGTTTCGGCGTCCGCCATGAAAAAAAAAGTATTTTACTCTATATCTCATAGGCGCCTTTCACAAGTTAATTTACATATTTGCGTGAAAGAAAAGTAAGCGTGCGATGGCTGCAACATAAATGGCGTTAAGGAAGAAAAAATAATGCATAATATTAATGTCGAGTGGCAAGAACCGTGCACTCCGTGCTTGGCGCAGATTCAGTCTGAGTGCCTATTTCGACTGAGGATTTTCCGTCGCTGGTATCTCCGTAGTTCACAAGTCGACGACCAATCAGGTACCTACAGATGAAATGAGATAAAAAGTTTCAAGCGTAGTCTTTTGACGTTATGAACGAATCGTTGAGATACTTCGGTAACGGGAAGAGCTTACTCGGCATCCTTTATTTGTTCGTAGAGGTTGATACACTGTCGTGTTTGGAGGTAGATCAAACCACCAAACACTATCAATCCAAAAATAAACGGGTACACGTAACGGAAAGCAACTTCTGGATCGACGTCTAAAATGGAAATACTTGATTGTGGACTACTGCTTAGGTGATAAAAACGCTTTTATGGTGTGGAGGCCGAAGATCTACGCATATACAACAGATGGATGAAGACGCAATTACACTAAACGACCATCTAATTGCCACAAAACACGTCTTTGGTTCTCGGGAAGGAGAGGGTTTACAACTAGTAATCCCTTGAGCCTCTGTATATTAGTAGGAATTGGTGCTATTTCGTTTTCCCGACATACAGGGAAAGGGGGAAAAAGTGATGGCATCGGCAAATCAAAGAGGCTGGCCCGACAGTTAAACTCAAGTGTGACTTTGGCGCCAACAGGCCTAATTCAGAGTAGTTTTCGGCTACGCCGCACAGGTAGATAATGCAGGATGGTTTTGTGCATGTATTCAAAGCTAATAATCACGTTGATAATAATACCACCAAAAATAGGATTTTTTATAGAAACAATGTAGCAGTGCTGATGCAGAACATTCGGTGTTGACTTCTGCGATGGCTTAAGAGTAGGAGCTTGTATAAGCAAGTTTGCCTGACGACTATTGGCTTGACTCATTTTAACCACCCTTTAGTTAAAACACCTCGGCAACCTTCATTATTCCTAGTACCTCTCTTTTACATGTTCTAGTTGCATGGGTGAATAAACAGCCACTTACACCTCTTATGCACGATCTTTGTTCCATGGTACTACGACGGGTGATGTCGAAGAACAAAGGTTGTTCGTTTCGAATGTACAACAAAAAATTACGGCTAAAAATTTCCTATTAGGATATATAAAGCCTTCAAAACGTTTTACTGAGAGTAATGTTCATACTGTCAAATAACCTTTCCGGATTAGTTGTAACTGCAGAATCATGGTGTCTGAGAGGTGCATTTGCACCGAGGAACAAGTAAGCAGGATCAACATGGGCAGAGACGTCAAACTTACGAAGAGCTGGACCGAGATAGTGAGCGAGAAGGAAAGGGAAGGAGATAGAGAGTCCAATCGCCACAAAAATGGGCGCCGAAAAGCGAAGAATGCGTAGGGCGCGGACAGCCGGCCAGTTGTGGAGGACCTCATCATGAATCTCCTCTAGGCGGTCCCTCACTCGCCAACGTGGTCCAACCAAAAGAATGAGCATCCAAACTTTTAGGTGCATCACACCAAAAATCCAATTCTATAAGCAGAATAAATTGGCACATGAGAGCTGTGGTATTACCCGGCAAGACTTTGATTTGAAAAAGAGGTTATGCACACGAACCTCAGAAAAGCCAATGGCTAGGGACTTCTCCGGTTTCACCCAAGCAGGGATAAAAATGACCAGGTTGATAAGGAGCCCAAGACAAGCGGGCAGTAGGACCACAAGCACGAGTGAGAGGAGGGTTAGCCTCAGGGGCACAGTTAAAGTCATCAGAAGGTCACGCAGCATTCGCTGCCGGTGCATTTCGTCAGTTGCACTTGCATTGGAGGCCGAGTGAGTAAGCGGAGGCAGCATCACAGCGAGGGCTTCTCGACGGGCCCAACGCGGGGTGAACGAGTTGCCACGCAGCCAATAGCCCAGAGCCACTGACCATTCCAGCAGCCAGCGCCAACCCTCCCAACGCGTCAAATTAGATACTCTATCGACAATAATGTGCCAGGCATTGCGCAATGTTTGTATGACCATGGGTAGACTGAAAATAGATAAAAACGGATGGTTGGAAATGAACTGTCTAGGTAAGTGATTAAAGGGATGGCCTTAGATTCATCAAGTAAACGTGGCTAGATGTCAACGAAGGGCGCAAACTAAGATGCAATCTCACTCGAAGAAAATAGACGTAAAAATCTATGTTAAAAGTTTAGTGACGAAGACAAGATCAAGGCAAAAGGATCGCCCGGAATGATGAGCAAAATCCCATGTTAGCAAACCAGTGACGATCGCCAATCAATTATCTAACTCCCGAGTGTGCATGAATCGAGGGAGCTAATAAAACGACGATGACTCACCACAGGATGACCTTCACCCACCCAACGAGTGAACACACCCCGAATAGCAGTGTTAAGGCGTCGTGGTGTGGCGTCTGATTGAGTCCAAAAGATTTCAGCAGGTGGCGTCCGAGGGCCACAGGAATCACGAGGACACCTAGGCTAACAGCGACTAAGGAAACGACAAGCAACGATAATAGGCCGATTATACGCAAAGCGAAGAAACGTGGGCGAGAGTAGGGTGCGAAACCGGCGTTGCCGGTGGGAGGGGTAAAGGGCTCGCTTTCTGGTTCCGTTTCGGGGCTGGCCCCTTCCTCATTCGGCGGGGCGGTGGATGCTGCGGGGATTCGACGGCCGTCAGGCATCACGATGTCATCCTGTATGTGAAAGGGAGTAGTAAATACACGTAATCGCAGATTTGAACCTACGCCCTACTCAGCATTAACCCTGTTCTTCAGCCATGGTTACTTAACTTCGAGTCAATTGGGACTCATGTGAGAAATTAAGTACTCCTGATGTGGTAGTTACTGGTATCGCATGGACGACTGAGGTTGAAACGTGCAGCGGATTGGGTATTTCTGAACACAGAAGTGCCTAACACGCCCAATGACAGAATACAGTGAGACTTACACGAAGAGAACATAAACATTAAAACCACACAAGGTAGGGAGATCTGATGCACATCTCAACAAGTTTGTTCAATGTCGCGTTCACTAGTGCTTAGTTGGAAAAAAGTTGTTTTTTTTTCACAGACGTGATCGCCGAAATAACATGTGAAACTGCACCGACGACTTACCCCAGGTGCGAAAGCGACGTCGCCTAGGAGGTAGCTGCGAAGACCCAGTATCCATGAGGCAGCAACACACCACTTACGAAGCATAACTGAGAGAAAAACCTTTATTTGTCCATCTAGGATGAAGGGCATCACTATTTGCAGGAGAATTATCTCCACTGAATAATCCACGGGGCTATCACTGAAACACGAAAGTTAGAATGAATTAAGTGCAGCGATATTTGACAACGGTTATTTTTTAAAAAAAAAACAGAGTAAAGGTTCCATGGATAAAGAAATGAATGTGTGCTTATCAGTAACGTAAACCACACTAAATATGCAACCAATAAGATAGTATGACTGGTGTGGGATTAAGTCGAGAAGTAACATTATTAACTTTTGGTGATTCTTTAACGATCTTACGAAGTATTATCTCACAGTAACAACAAAAATTAGCATTCAACACTTTGCACTCAAATTTCAGGGAAATAGTTGCTTTCCGGCAAATAAGACACAAGCCAGTTCTATTTAAGCAGTTTTTTAACGAACGATAGCTAAGCGATGTTGAAATAAAAGAATGCAGAACTTTCATGACGAGATAAATCGTAGCAAAAATAAACACTAGTGACAGTTTCAGAAAGTAAACAGGTAAAGATTAATGCGTGTTCTTATACATAGGATGGGAGAAAGAGTGACTTCGAAAAATGCTTGGATAAATGGGTTGTGGGGGGACGATTGTCCGTGCTAATTTGTCCCAAATAAGCGGGACAAATCACATTGAATCGCATCGAGTTGAGCTTGGTTAGCTTAGCGTAAGAATGGCTTTGGCTATCCAAAGCACCCGTATGATGAGCACAGAAATGCCATTTCATATGCCCTACAAAAACTCTAGGGTCTGTTACTGGAGCAATTTTTAATTTGGATTAGGCTTGACCAAATAAGTGACAAGTAGTTCATCCTAGTAAGGAAGGCCAAAAATACCGAGTTGAGATCACTTTACAGGTCATTTGGAAGTCCGTATTTGGACTTTATCGTTGTAGATACGAACACGACAGCGAGTATCATAAGAAATGTGGATACGTACTAGGCAATGCTCATTTGGAACGGCAGAAATCCAGGAAACAGCTTTTGGGTGATCAGGGTGGGCAACCAGAGAGAGAGTATCACAGTTATTCCAGTCAACGACTAGATTAAGGAAAACAGGCATTAGCAACACAGGACGTGTGAACGGCTCCCCCATTTAAGCGATTAAAATAACTCACACAGTTCACAACGAGACGCTGTATGTAAGCTGTCACTGGCACCGAAATCATCTACAACAATGAACGCGAAATTTTTGACACTAAGCAGAATCCACAAGCACTGCTTCTAGCGAAGAAAAAACCCCAGACGGAGCAGCCTGACAAACCACACAGTCATCCTTGCAGATGTCACCTGTCGAGGCTTATGAGCAACACATTCGATCCCAGTGTCAAACTCCATGTCACAATCGAGAAGACGCATAGAAAATTCGACATTTTCGAGACGCCAATGAAAAAGTGGGCGTCAACATCGTTGCGTAACAAAAAAATACTAATAAAAATGGTCTCGTGGACGGGAGGAAAATACAAAAGCCTGGTTTACGAAAGAAACGCAAAGGACTAGGCATTATACTTGAAAATAACCAGTTAGATAGTGATGAGCTAATCTTTGTAGCAACGAAAAAAAGATGTACGATTAATTGGAAGTTCTGAATAAGCACATAGTCCCAAGGAATTGGGGTTAAAAGGAGCAAAAAAGGCATTCTTCCAAACTAATATGGGTCCTCTCATGGCTTCCCTATACAACTGGTAGACGATATGAAGGAAGGGAACTAGGGAAGAATTTGAATTTGAGCAATAACGAGGATTTTGAACTTGCATTGCCCACTTTTATTTACGAAATAACGGCAGATAAACGAACGTTCGTTTGAGTCCTCATAAATCAAGTAAGAAATTTCACCAAGCTCTGTTTAAAATGGCGACATGTGACCTTTGTGAACATTGCTTGTAAGCAGGCGACGGACTCATGACGACGACGACTACTACTATTGTCCTCTAGGCCACCGTTTCAGGGCACAGTGGAGAATAACCCGCTTGCAGGTTTCATTGGCATTGCAATTTAAAATGCCGACTGACATCTACTTCAGAAATTAACAAAACAGCTAAGACCAAATAAGGGCCGGACTAGAGGCCGGCGAAACGCGAGGAGCCTCGCAGACAAGCGTTACTAAGTACCAGAGAAGTAGAATTTTTCCACAACTGACCTCTTGGATGGGTTTGTATTCAGGATCGGTGAAATCCGGGAGGAACCAGAGGACGCCGGGGCGAATGACATCTCGGATGATGAGAAAGACGGACGAAACGTAGAAAAGGTACATCAGACCCATAGTCCAATGAATAAAGGTGAACACCAGGGGAGCATAGTTGAAAGCACGAACACGTTGTGTCACCGATGAGTTGAACATACCCTAGAGAAGCGGGGTTACAAGAACAGGGATAATTTTGATAAAAGTATCTTTACTACTGGTGAACCAAGTTCATGGTACGTCGGAACTATAAACCACAAGCTTGTCCAAACAACAATGTTGCAGGGAACCCAGAATGCTTCAGGTTAAAGGTAGCAAGTGTTTTACCGATGGCTGTGGAGAGGAATTCGTAGCGGTGCTGTCAAACATCGTAGATAAACTAGTGGAAGTCAAATTTTGCCCGGGCACATTGGACGTACACAACGACACGAAATAAAAAGTAATCATGGCAACGCTATCAAGCAGGCATGAAAGAGGATATTACTGTCAAGGGTTTGGGATGGGCAGGACACATTTAAGACGAGTGGATAAAACGCAAATGCTGATGTCGATAACGATTATTACAATACAAGCTTACCAAAGAGCAGGCATCAATCCACAAACCACAGAAGGCGGTGAAGATACCCAACTCCACAAAGGCGATTATTGATACTTTTATGTAGATGTAAAATAGACCAGCATAATACGAAGCGGATCTAAACAAAAGAAGTTTAAGGTTACAAATATGGAAACGGTGTCTTGAAGTACTGCATGAACACCAAGTTAAATACTACTTCTGGAAGATTTCCCGATTTTATGAAAGGTGCGGTCAGGGCTAGAAGGTTATTAGGAACTTCTGTTTAAGTGATATGGTGAAGGATAGCGCAAAAGCTCAGGAGCGTTACACCCACTAGCTGTGTTCCCATTAGCCATAAAAACCGACAGAGTCTATCCATGGGGTGGTGTAGACATCGCTAACCACAAATCTTTACATTCAGGGATGAATACCCAATGTTTGATGGTAATTCAACTTTTCACCTAAATCTCTGGTTAATCACAACATTTATAATCGGAAGTGCAGTTTTAGATATCGCACGCTGTTTTAACTTTTGCAGCTCATTTCCTTACATTGCAATAACAAGAAATTCGCATTTGGGAGGAGTAAGAACTAAACACTTTAAAAGCTTTCCTGATTGTTTACAAAACTAAAAAAATTGACGGAGTTAAGTTAACCGCTGGATTTGTGGGGAGATAAGAAACTATACTGGATGAAGGCCAACCAACCTGGGCATGGCAAGTGCTTTGAATAAATAATGTAAAATCATGAGAAGGGCGGCCATGGCAACGTAGCCGACAAACGAAAATAAGATCCCTTCAATCGGAGGAGTGAGAATCTGAAAGGAAATGAAGTAGGCACATTTATCGTAATAATTTGGCATTGTGGCACACCGATGCCCCGCGTGTTTTATGCTTGATAAAGCCTCAACGCCCCAAAAAATTTGACATCATTTCATTACCTAAGAGCATGGGCGACTTTCGTTTAAATAGTATCCAATTCTGGCAGTATAGCAAGATTTCAATACGTTTCCATGGTTGAATGTGCCGTTTTCTCTAAAAGAACACTTTTGTTGGGTTAAATCACGTCCGGAATTAGTAAAATGTGAACGCAAAAGGCGCGCATTTTTTGCATAATTCAGTGGAGTCGATTTGAACGCGGGGAAGAAGTTCCAAAAGGATAGCGGTTTGTGCAGGAAACAATTGAATAGATGGCTAGCAGCTTCTGGAGAAACGGTTAGTCACAGTCGAAGGGAAAATGTGCAAGCTTGGAAACTCGAATTCCATGACCAACTGTTTGGACCGTCATTAGAAGACGCTTGCAACTAGACCACTGCAAGAAAAAGCGCAAAATGTTCTTTGAAGATGTGCAAAGAATTGCCTTGTTTTCTGGCGATAAGGCAAAATGAACAAACAAAATGCTCGCATCGAGAGGAGGAAGAAATTCCACATACCACAACTGAACATGAAGGGACTCATTAAGTGGGCATGTGTTCTGCACCAGTTTCAGGGAAAACGTCACCGGCGACGATTATCCGACGGAGCTTCAGAAATTGAGACAAACGGACATGCCCAATTCACTTTTTACTACACCGAAAACCTACAGTGCCAGCATATCTCAACGAGGGACTGCCAGATGAGTCGAACGTAGTGATGATGGAGACAACAGGCTACTGAAAAGGCCCCCAGGCTTGTCTGACTCGACACCGTGCGATTTCGTTCTGTGGGGTTATGTGAAGGGACTCAGAGACAATCACCGAGGCTCTGAAAACTATTACGCAACGCGTGCTGCAGTATGACAGAGACTCGACTACCGACGCACGCAGTGAAAATTCGTAATAACTCCGCAACATTTTAAAATAACTATCCTGCATACCTTTTCCCAGAAATTTTTTCTATAAGACATGCTATGTTTACAATTGGGCTTTTTAAGTCTCTTAAATGATGTCAAATTTTTTGGGGCACCCCGATTAATGCCGGGCCCGATTGTTTGCGCGGCAACGTTAAAACGGTACTCACTGGCAGTGGGTCTGACAGCACTGACTTTATGAGCACACTACTACAAAGTTAAATATACAGCCGTCTGAGTTATAGCGTTACCACTACAATTTAAGCAGAGAGGTAACACTGAAAACAAGCGAAAAAGATGCAAACGAGGGCGCATCAGGACCATACGGCTAGAGCTAGTCGTCAATTAGTAAACGGAGCCATAAAGAAAGGCCAGAAAGGTGCATGCCGATGTTTTGAAGAGCTGGCTAGGAAGATGAAAACAAGTCCTCGACAGAGGAATCGGCTACTAGGCGCAAATATTACCATCCCAAGAGATAAAAAGTCCATACAAACAATACGTATGGTGTGCCAGTTACACTTAGGCTCTGCCGAGGCGGATGGCACTAGGGATGCAAAAAAATGAGTTCGACTTTCTACAGCTAATCACGAAAGTCGTCAGGTACGAGTTTTTCTGCATTGCACTCAAGCATCTGCTCATAAGTCGCAGTGAGTTCGAAAAATCAAGTTTGATCAAAACTTGCTATGGGCAGCCACAGCCATTTTCCAGATTTAACTAAAGTTGAGCAGCACTTTACCAAGACGCTTTGTTACCCACCATTTAGGAGGCCTGATTACTCACCGAGTTCACTAGTGAGACAGCTAATTTTTATTTACATTCATGAAAATTAAACTTTTTTTTAAAATAAGCATTGATTTGATTACCAACTCAGATAAATAAAACTGATGCATTTGTTTACGCGTAAGCATGTCGCAATGGTAAAAGCTGCGCCCGAACTACTAAGGACTTACCGCAGTTTTGATGCCCAAGACAGTGAGAACTGCACGTCCAGTGAAGAATGGGAATGAGGCTAAAATTGTCGTGAAGCCATGACCAACATTTGTTAAATTCAAGTATCAAAAAAAGCACACGAAAACTAGAAAATCACCTAAAGCGATACAGGAGTGCCTGTGGGGTAATATTAAATATCAATAACAAGACACTGGCCTCTTACAAAGATTTTGGGTTAAACATAGGCGGCAACCATTTTGGGGATGTCGCATATAAAAAATAATTCCAAGTTAATTGATGTTCTTTTCGGAATAACCACGGTTAAATTTGGACTCGGTTGTTGATAATGTTTCTGACGTAAGGCGACTGTGGGTTGTGCTGACACAACGCCCTGCAAAAAATTGGTTGGGTGCGGCTGACAATAATGTCAAATTCTTTCATTGACGTAGGACCAAAAGACTCACCAAATATGAGGATAAAGAAGACATTGAGGACAATAATCCAAAGAACATGCTCCAAAAACGTCATGGTCCCATCAAGTCCGAAAATGCGCTCAAGTGTCAGTGGAGGTCCGGCGTCTGGCGCCCCAGCGCCGGCGTCGAACTCGCCCTCATTGTTGCCCGCTTGCGGCACGGCCGGTGCCACCGCCTGATGATTGGCCGGCTGTTCGGGTGGGGCAGGCGCCACCTCAGCGGCCACTTGAGCTGCACACAAACGAAAAACTAGTTGCGGTCGACGAAAACCAGAAATGCTCGTGAAGAGGTTAGAAATGGGACTATTGTTCACTCAGTAGTTGCGTCACTAGCGACAAAAAAGGGCAAAATTCGACCCTATGCAAAAAAACAAATGAACCCTCACTGAAAGTCACAATTTCATTTCGACGCAGAAAGACTACCTTATTCTAATAAAAAAAATAGTATGATAATTATTATATCCCACTGAATTCAGTCGAATAACACCGACATTCATCCTGGCAACAAATGATAACTGACGTAGCATGCGCAGAGTGAGAATAAGAACAATATGGCTAAATTAAAAAGTACCGCCAAAAATCTCATGAAGGTTATTCGCGATATCTGACAATGGGCGACACAGAAAGTTGACACACAGGTAGCGTATTGCCATTCAGGCATTCATACACTTTAAAAACGATGCGTGATTTAGTGGTTATGACCGTTTCCCACGATATCTAATGACACTAAGTTAAACAATAATAACTTGTTTGGACGAATAATTGGTGAGTGATTGAGTGTACGCTACAAACTAATCACTTCAATGAATATATTCGTAAATTTTGTAAATTTCTGAATTTTCAAAAGGTTTTTGAGGAATGCAAACGGTCAATTTCGAGAGTAAATGCTAAAGACTTAATAGAAAAATGGATTCTTGTGCATGGACTGATTAGAAAAAATAAGTGTGACAGCGAGAAAAGCAGGCTGCTCTTGATCACATTTACACCATATTTGTTTAGTTCAAACACACTACCAGTGAATCTCGCAGGCCATTGTAATGGATGTAGGTGTGTGCATAAGTTAACCAGTGTTTACAAGATTGCACACTGAGAACATGAAGCCTACTAACCGGGATTCTCTTGAGGCTGGTTATTGTCGGTCTCGTTGTCAACAGGAGCGGCAGCAGCAGCCACGGCAACAAGGTTCGGGACCGTTCCTTCGCCTTGTCCCTCTTCGTCTGCAGTCCCTTCTCCCTCAGTTAGCCAATCAGGCTCACCCCCTATGGTTAGCTGTTCCCTTAGCCACACGTAACCAAGAAAGGCAGCCAGAGCAATCAAAACTATGAGGAAACCCTAAAAAGAAAGCTAGATCTGTAATGTGCGAAAAAAAACAAACTAATGAAGAGTGCGATAAATAGTTGTTCAAACGATTAGTTCTGGAAAATGACAGTCTAATTTATAACTTAGAGGCACCGAAACTAAAACCAAGACTAAGAACCAAGTACACGCTCGGAGGATCTAAGTTTCACCAAATATTAACAAGTCTGAGCAAACAAGATTATGAAGACCTATTAGGACCAGCAACCTCAATTGAAAAATTAAGTAGACGTGTATATCGAAAATATAATGACATTAGACGTTGAGTTCAGGATGAGAACATCAAAAACGGGATATTTACGAGGTGGCCCAAAACCAAAAAAGTTTCAGGGAAAAAAGCATCCGAATACGTACGAAACTGCAACTTTCTGCTGACCCAACGGTTTACAAAGGCCTAAAATAATTTATTGCTTTTAAAATTGAAAAACCAAAAAATATTACTGAACCAAGGCGATGAAAAAACGCTTGCTTACGGAAACCATGATGAGAAACAAAATGGTCCCAGAGCATGCTTCATGATATCACGCAGTGCGCATAAGCATTACATACAAGAAAACCTGGAACAAGTTATCGACGAGTCAGAAATATAGCGTGAATTCTATAATAGTTCAAGATAGCAACAGACTAAATTCCGAAACAAACCTGGCAGTGGCACAGAAAGAAGTTTATTGCCGTACAATTTTGATTAATGTTCTTGACACTAGGTAGTCGGAAGGTAGACACATTTAGCCCACTTAATATAGATAAAAAAAGCATCACAAAACCTACTTGTATACAATCCTGAATGACGCGCTCCGTGGAGAGTATGTCCAAGGGTAGCGATAGTAGTGACGCAAGACTGCCTGAAAAGAAGCATCGGTATATGCGACACACTGTCAGGGGGACTACGAACAGCCAGGAGATTATCACGGCCAAAAAGTGCACAAATCGGATCACCACATTGCGAAGGGCCGTTAGCAATCCGAAAAAGAGGACTCCGAGAGGGACCACGGAAGGAGTGTGGGGGGCGTAGACGGGTTTAAAAGTGAAGCGGTGACTGCAGAGCTCACAGGTCTGACGTTTGCTGTATTGAAGCCACTGGACCAGACTGTCAAAAGCAAAATCATGTTTATGGACAACTGCTCTTAGCAAACAATCTTACAAAATTACCAATGTACGTTGTAACTAGTGATCATTTACAGAAAAAGCAGTATTTACTCTGACGTAATTGAAGTAGTGCGCTGGAGACATGTTCAAACTTCCAAAAGGGAAGTCTTGAATAGAACAGGACAATACTGTCGTAAAATGGCCGCTTCTAATATCTGAGCAATGTAGCAATTTCAATTGATAATTGTTTCAACGAAACGATTCACCGGAAAGTAAAGGTTGGCATACTTTCTGAGTACTCCTTCGAAGTTACAAAACACATACAGTGAGAAACGCTACTAAGCTTTGCAGTGTAAACTTATGACACCAATGAACAGCCAGTCTACCTTGTAGGCTGAGTAAAAGCAGAAAAGTTTCTGAGAATTTGTCTAGAACTCGTAATTTCGCCTTCAAGAAATCGGTATGTGATAGAACACAAAGACAAAAACTGATACCTTACCATTCTTGGTGGACGTATTTTATGCTTCCGGTGCACAAGCAGGGATAAAAGAGAGGCTGCGAAGGGGTGCCTTCACAGCGACAGACGCGACAAAAGTCTACAAGTGTAAGCAAACCAATAGTAAGCACGTTGTGTCAACACATTTAGATAACACCCAAAGCAAAAAAACTGCAAAATACTACGGGTTACATAAATTTGAGATCTTATACGAGTCTGTTGTCAGACAAGGAGCAGTTAATTTAACTTTAATTGAAGTAACTATCGATATTAAGAGGATTTGTGCAGACACCAGGAAAACAACAGACTACAAATGGTAGCAGAAAAAAACCACATTTAAGAAAATTTGCCACAAAAGTAACAAACCTCAAAATTAACGACGTGAATAGAGCAAAATGAGGTTACGGCGTTGGAAAGTCATTAAAAACTTTAATTTCAAAATAAAGAGAATTGCATTGAAAGAGGTTAGAAAATGCGTCTAAAAGAAATTAATTGCATTTCACACAAAGAAGCTTTGAACTAGATCAACGGGAGCACCACTATTACGTAGAATAAATAAATTCCAAAAATACGTCATAAGAAAATTCAGTGCAATTAAATCTTAAAAAACCATTTTGCAGATTGCATGTTATATCATTAAGGTTTGAAATTTCATAGTCAAATGATCAACGCGTCGCGTACACGAAATTACACTCCGAAACTTGAGTTTCGGAAGAAAAACCGATGTCAAGCAAAAAAAATTGCAATCCACAAGGCTTGGTGACGAGACGAGCAGTTATCCAAACACTATACCAAATAGCGGGGATAATTAACGGTCTTAATTTATTGAAAGGTAAATCAAGTCTTAAACAAACCCCCAAATGAAAATAGGAAACTATCGATTAAAGAGAATCCAATTTCCTAGACAAAACAAATATAAGATTAGAAAGATAACGACCGTCATCACATTAGATAGTAGCTGTATTTCTTATTAAATTTGGAGTGGCCAAAAGGTCCACATAATTACAGAATGAAAATTTTAGTACTAACACCGAAAGCGCTAAAAATTAATAAAATCTTTTGAGATCAATCATTTTTTGATGGCAAACTTTTGTGATATTGTGGGTTATGCATCAATGTTTTAAAGTGTCATAAGTTCATACCAACCTGAAACAAGGAAACGTTTTTGCTCTATATGAGAAGTGAAGAAAAATTTTGTAACGCGAATAAAAAAGGTGGACACAATTAATTTAAGATGACTGAATAGTGAAAATTTTTAAAAATGAAGTAAGGAACAAAAGCAGTACAATTTTATATGAGAAAATCATTTGATATCTTAATTTTTGTCAGTAAACACTCACCGACATCGTCACAAGGCATATCCAGCAAATCCCGACAAGATACCACTGACAAGGAATATCGTAAAGGGTTGAATCTAGAACTACTAACTAAAACAATTGTTAGTATTCAACCCAAAATTTTTGCATTAATTTTAATTAAACCATTTTTTTTTCATAAAATACGGTAGTAAAAACAATCGTTATCAATGCATCATAGCTACTTTCATTATTGGTTTTGCGACGCTTGGAAAATTCAGAAATATTACTGGACTTTCGAAAATGTTGCATTATGTCAAATTTGAAGGGCAACAGAGCAATGCAAGTGTTCATTTCAGTGTTTTAAATATTTTGTCGAACCACAACTATTCTTTGTTATGTAAAACTAGGCTGAAACTGGTTTCACAGAGTATCACATGCATATTTGCCTGTATCCTTGTTTATGTTAATCACCCTGAATACATGAAGTGCTCACCCAAATATGTAACCGGACATTTGTGATACAATACTCTATTTAATAAAGGAAATGACTGCATTCAGAATACTGTTGTACATGCATTTGCCCTACGAGTGAAAACATGAATCCGCCCAAATGTTTGAATCTCGACTTAGTGCAAAGTCGAATAACCGACAGTTAGAAGAAAACGTATTCACAAAAAGGATTAAATTAAATAATTCAACTCTTATGTACATGTGGGAGGTAGTATTTTCTTTGTGTTACTCCTGGTATGTATTTTTGATCCAAATAGGTTAGCATATTTTAAAGGCTTCACGACTCGATATGCATATGTATTTTTTTAAACTTTTACAAGTTATAATTAGATCAGATTGAAAGCGCAACCAGAAGTGATTTAACTAAACTGTTGAATAAATGCATATATCATTCCCCATTTTTTGTTTGGTAATAACATTTAATTTTGGTACCTTTTATCCCTCTAAGTCGGGTACTCGACATGCATCAATTTAAAAGAATAAAAACGAATACACATATCAAATGTTTCATTATTAAATACTCCTTAAGAAATTTGTATGATGATTTTTCGCCATGTTTATGCTGAATTCAAAGCAACAAACGTGTCATGAGCAATACACAGGAACCTGAATTTTGAAATCTCGACAAATGGAACACCACACCACACATTAACATCTAATAAAGAGATAGCAAGACAGCTATTCTTATCTAGTTTAAAAAATCGACTTAAAGACTCATCTCTTTTATTCGATAAATTTTATTCTTGAGCTTTTTGAGCATGCCTCGTACAAGACCACGATTAATCAAACATGTAAACGTTCCTTGATGTACTAACATTTTGTAGTGTCGCATCATTACTGCGTGAAGTAAATTCTGGTCATAAGCACAGAGTTTGCATGAAGTATGGCGACGTGATAATTCTTCGGAGCATATTTGTTTGCTCTCTTTTTCCGTATTTATTACCTGACGTTATGTGGTTAGGTCTAAAATAAGCATGCGACATGTAAACTAATGGATCGCTATTTTTTCGATACGTTGCCATCAACCATTGCGAAAATGAACAGCGGCGATTTACGCGCTCGTATGAAGGCGTAAATACAGAAACTTGTAAGATCACAGAATGTAACTCTTGCATAATCCACCAATGTTCCCAGTCTTGAACATTAAAAAGTACGTATTACTGATTTACTATTACAACACTGAATCTTAGAAATTGATTTGCATGGTTTTTTTGTATCTATTACGTATAGATCCTCCTCAATTTACTAGTGGTATAGATATTTAAGCAGCACTTATTGTTTAACGCCTATTTGAATGAATATGCCACTGTCAGGGAGCTAACAATCTCCCTAGCAGAGCATTCTTTTGATGAGTGACCTCAAAAACCTATTGGCTTGTCAATATCAACCAGTCAAAACAAATATGGACTTGAAAAATTTTTTAAACCATGATAACCCTTTCGGTAGAAATACTGTTGCATGACACCTTTGATTTATTGTTTATTTATTTGATTTATTATATTATTCAGTAACGTTTTGCACTTTGAGTGCGCAGAGCTGATATTTCATCGTACATGATCTGGAGTGTAATACATTTGATCGTGTGGTTTAAATCCTCACACTTTCCCAATATCACCAGGCTAGACCAAAATGCAGCTTCTTAGATATTATTTACCCTTCTGTTTCCATTCTCCGTGATTAATTTAAAGAAATAACCCTTTAGCACTTTGGTCTATGTTGATTTCTATAATTCCAACAAATGCATTCTAAACACCCAGAAGTCAACCTAAAATGAAAAATACTCAACATGCTTGCTAGAAAAAGTCGTGCTTTTGCACAATCTGGAATCTCTGTACAAAGCTAAGTTTTCGACATAAGCTTTAATTAAGCCCACTTTGCAACAGTTATTTGGATCGCATTTTCCAGTGGCGTTTGCAAAAAGACATACCTTAAAATGGTCTGTCCAAAGTACTGGGAAAGAAATTAGAAACTTTTACAACCAACACAGTTCTTATAATATTGGGGAAGTGTTTGTCTGAAGAATAGGTTGGATGCCTAATATCACTAGTTACCCAACAAAGATGAAGTCGGTGAAAGGACGGAGAGTCAAACATTTATTCGAGAACTTGACGAAGCCGTGGTTTTATATGGGGTTTGTGCGTGTGTATTTATAGCTCGGATGTGTGAGTCATAACTGCGCTGACCTCGGTGTGAGGTTAATCCAAGATACATATACGTGTGGATGAAGGGGAATTGAGGATTCGCGCAGCTGGCGCCATGCTGCGGAAATGTCGGAGGCGGAGCGATCGGATTAAGGGGTTGAATAAACAGGATTCAAGACAAGTATATTCATGGTCTATATAGGTATTCAGATTAGACGCTAGGTCCGCGCATTTTTCCATCAATGTTTCTTTTTTAATGCAAAACCAGTATACGGTAGTCAAGTGACCCTTGAACAAGCGCCACTGAGGCTATTTAGAGTATTGGCTGAAAACGTGTAAACGCATTTTTTCACTTACTAGATTTTCTTCAGACTTCTGCAGCGGCGTTTTATTATCTCATGTTATTTTCCGCTTAGCATAACGCATTCTGCAAATTAGAAGAAACAAAATATCAAAGGCACGGCAGATGAAAAGGGTGGAACAAAGTGTTGAAAAGACAAGAATTCCCGGAGACAAATCATTTCATTACACAGAGATTTGTGAACGTTCTACCTGCTCTCCTCTGTTCACATGATCACGCTAGTGACAAAATTTTGAAGAATAAACTTCACTACAGTCAGTATGTCTCTGTCTGGATCGACAACTCTTCGCTCAGAGTTTATCACTCTCAATTTATTGGACCAGCGTAGCTCAGTCATCTTCAGGCATCGCATATTGTCATTGGCCATTGATCACTTGGCCATGGTCCTCCAGCTGAGACAGTTGAGTTTCTCTGTACGAGGTACTGTCTTTCTTCGATTCACTCTAAAACAATGCGCTAAGTGTGCTTCAACCACCAATGGTAACACAGAGACTCGGAAATCGATAATTTATTTAAATATTAGTTTTGTGTATTCAATGAGTCCTTTTTCATTGTTGTCAGCCTCTTTAATGATGTAAACCAGCCCATACATTAAAAAATCATTATCCAATCCACTTTTTAGCTTTCTTTAATAATGCGTCAACAAAATTAATGCCTTTTATAAACCAAGCTGGGTAGAAACTAAAGCATGATTTGAAATTCGTGGATAAATACAAATCCAAATAACGAGACTAAGCACTTACCAGAAACCTAAAATGTAACTGGTAACTGCATCGAAAAATGCGAACTAGGAATTAGCTGTAAAAAAATAGGAAGAAGTCAAAGAGTGTTGTTACCATTTAAAGTGACGTTCTATGCCCGAGTTATTCATATCTGCTATTGTAAAGTTCTGATTTTAAGGAAAGTAGATGGTAAAAATTGCTTTCCTGAAATGTGACGAGCGATAAGAGCTTGCAGATCGAAATTTTATTTACCCAACCAAATGGGTTTGGATTATTGTGCAAATTTAGCTCAGAAGAACATAAGATGGTTTGCTATAATAGTGTGTTCCTTTGAAACCCCCTACCAAAACAATTTCGAAGTATCAAAAGAAGATGGATTATCCTGAGCTGGTCTTTGCTATTTTGCTACTTGCATCTTTTGATGTAGGCTATTTGTGAAAAAAATGCTTTCTTAATTGCTTCACGCACACTCTGGTTTTGGGTGGCTACAAAACCCACATCCGGGGTCAGGGACATACAAGAACAACAGTAGATTCCTCAAATGCTGCATTTGGTGACATTGCTAATGTGCTTTTTAGACGAGCCACGATGTTTAAGACGTGCCATGAATACATATGATGTATGCTTTCCCATTCGGTCTGCTGACTGCCAGAACGCTCCAAATTAAGTATTAACTTGCGTAAAGGCACGTCTCACATTCTGTATGTGGTCAGCAAATTGGTTGTCTCTCACAAGTTGCACCACAAAGGCACAACACTCGATTGTCTGTTGACTTAATAAATGGACGTGTCCGCTCCATCTGTGATCTTTTTTAATCGACAGTGCCTTGCGATTATTCTCACATTCTACCCACCATTGCTTTCGTCCTAAATTCTGACAACAAATCTCTAACAATTTGTCCTTTAGTAGCTCTGTCATCGCATTTTTAACTCTTTGCACCAGAGCAAATAATTTGATTTGCTTCGCATTAGTACTTTTATTTGATTCTGACCTAACATAGAAATGTTTCAGAAATACGTGCAACATTTTCCACTGGATGTGATATTTGGATGAATTACAGTAATAATTCATCAACTTAAACGTAATCGAGAACTCGACTTCAAGGGTAAAACCATAGCTCTCTTTTTTAACCCAAATGAAAATGGAGATCGGTTTCTGAACGACTTGCTATGAAGAAAATTAATTTCACTGAAAATATTAGTATTTCAAAGTTAATTAGTGTAAAAGCCGTTTACGACCATTCGTTAGCAGTTGCCTTCACGGTAATGTAAACATAAGGCATTCGATGTCGGTCAGTGTTTACCACACGAACCCTCCTGTCGGTAGTCCATAACCGCATGCTGACGGAAGCGACAAAGGTTTTCGCCACCATCTGCGCTTCCTGCGTGGTGCTGAGCTCACAGGCCTCCTCTTCGAGCGGCATTTCCTACACCCCCGATTGGGCATCTCTGGACACACGACCCTTGCCGGCCTGGTATGATGAGGCTAAAATAGGAATTTTTATACACTGGGGAGTATTCTCAGTTCCGAGTTATGTGTAAGTGCCTTTTTTCTTGCTGTTTTTCTAGTCACACTTTATTTCTCAATTTGGTCCGCTTTTGGATTTCTTCATTCGGTTAATGGTTGAGTCGCATTCTATTCACTTCTTAATATTTAATTCAAGAAAGAATAACTTAAATAAGAAGAAGCTGTTAATGTGGCAGTACATTAGGTAGGCTAAATCACTTAGTTGATGCACGTCTAGCACTCCCTTGAAATGGAGGTTTTAATAAGCCATAGTGGAAAACCGCTTGCAGAAGATAAGAATCACTTACAAAGCACGAATGTTTTTCTACGGCACTGAGCCATGAGTGGCTTGTACAAAATGGACTTTTAACATTGACGTACGGCACTCTCATACTTCATGCATAGTGTCTTACCTCTGTCGGCCACCTGCACTTGAAAGCTTAGACTCCATCTTAAAAAGGTCGCTCATTTTGTGTTCGTCCCTTCAAAAACATGTCCCGCCGGGCTCTCACAGTGGTAATTGTGAAACCAAGCAATAACCAGGTTGCTCGTTTGGGCGCTATTACATGGACCACTAAAAATAATCGAGGTTGTAAAACATCTCATATCTCCTGTGTTTTTAAAATGCTTATTTGAAAACCAAAATACATACTACAACTTCTGTTTGTCATTCTAAAGTGTGACTTTGGTCCATCTTTTGTAATTTAAGTTTGAAAAAAAGAACTCTATTTAGAGAACAGAAAGGCTGAAAGTGAATGGCCTGGACTTTTTTGTTAATAAACTAGATCCCCCTGTCAAGTTGCACCTAGATCGCTTTGATCCGAGAGAGTAAGTGCGTTTTGGCGCCGTCACGGCAGAACCCAGATCTGTCACTTGTGGCCAACCTTAATCTCTCCCCCCCTCTCAGTTAACGGCTGCGTTAGGTTCGACGAATTTTTGTCGAAATCAGATTACATACCATGGTTTTTTGTGGCAAATTGGACAAATCATACCCTTCTCCACCAATTTTACCAAGAACACGTTTCTTAGGATGCAGTCTTGAATTTAATATCGTTCGTGCTGACTAATCCTGCTTATAACATGATCCATTCGGCTAATGTCGGTAACTTTAAAGCACTGTTAAAGTGAGAAACTGATTCTGAAACTTTGGATGCAGTAAAGTGGAGGGATAATGGGTATTAATTTGCTTTCATAAGTCATTGCATTGGGCTTCTGCTGAGAATTTGGATATATGCGTCAGATGTGAAATTATAGGGTAAATTTAAAGCAAACGAGACCCAATTTAAGACATTGGGTACTCTTCCCTTAGAATACTTCACTCAGCTCTTATGAAGCTGGTGCAACCGAAAGGCTAATATATCCACCAAAAACACACCGCATCTTTTTTCTTACTTAGGAGTGAGTGGTTCTGGTGGTATTGGAAAGGCACCTCTCCGAATCCACAAATCTGGGTGTACATGCAAACCTATTATCCTGCAGGCTTTGCATATTCAGACTTTGCGCGTGATTTCCGAGTTGAATTTTTCAACCCAGAGAAATGGGCTGAGATCTTCAACTCATCAGGAGCAAATTACGTGGTCCTGACAGCTAAGCACCACGAAGGTTACTGTAACTGGCCTTCGCCTGTCTCCTGGAACTGGAATTCTATGGACGTAGGCCCACGACGTGATCTGGTGGGCGACTTGGCTAAGGCGATTCGGTCAAGAACCAAACTCCGATTCGGCGTCTATCACTCCCTTTTTGAGTGGTTTAATCCTCTATACTTGGCTGACAAAGAGTCTGGTTATGTGAACCAGGTATGGGGTGTACTGGTATTTAAGAAACGTTTTTTATTGGTCCTCACAAATGACAGACCTCGATGCTTATTTCTCCAACTTGAGGATATCTTTCTATGTTGAAGGGTAACTAATTTTGTTAAAATTCACTTGAATATGTGATAGGCCGCAACTACAAACCCATACTACAAGACTTTTAGCCATTTTACCCTGGCACGTACTCCGCAATAACTAGATTCATTCAAAGTCAATGAGTTGATCTATAATTAAAATGGATGAGAGACTTGTATCGACAACCGTTAAATCAGATTCATTACTGATCCATTCCAGCAATGTAAATGGTGAGATCTAGCGATTTTGTTTGCTGAAATGCCAAGCAATCAAACAGTTTAAATGCAGTGTTCTTATTTAACATTGTAAATATGAACCGTTCAAAGAATATGACCGCATGTGGCGAGCGCCATGAAGTCTAGGTGAATTCATTGAGAAAATGAATTGGCGAGAAATAGAGCGGACAAGTTGATACGGTATCTTGCTTAAAAGAGCTCCGTTAAAAACACAATTGCAACCCCTAGACGAATATCACAAAATGAGGGTCCCTTGAATACTAGTCTACAGTCAGATTCCTGATTGTGATAAACATTTGGATGATAATGTTAAATATAAACAGTCAACTGTGATGAATCTATGGAGCTATTGAATTCGACAGTTTCTAATTATCCAAATTATTTTCTAACAATATTTCTTTGTAATCAAGTAAAATCAGCATCTTTGCTCTTTGGAGTAAGGAGGCAGGCTCCATGCTCATAAAAAATGCTATCCATTTATTAAAAATTAGCATTTTTCGAACTAGTAAATACTTCCGATTTCAGACCTTTGTAGATCAAAAAACACTGCCGGAACTTATGGACCTAGTTAACCGTTACCATCCAAGTATTATCTGGTCTGATGGGGCACCTTCTACAAGCGACTACTGGAGGTCAAAAGAGTTTCTTGCTTGGCTTTATAATGAATCACCTGTCAAAGACGAGGTGGTCGTGAACGATCGTTGGGGCTCTGATGCAAATTGCAAACACGGAGACTTCTTTAACTGCGCTGATAGATTTTTCCCTGACAAGCTGATGTCTCACAAATGGGAAAGTTGTATTACACTGGATCGCTACTCATGGGGCTATCGACGAGAAAGTCGTCTAGCTGACTACTTAACAAACGAGGTACACAATCTATTTATTTATCTCCCACGAAGCACAATCACTTTCCCTTGGTGATTTTTTGTTCCCAAGAGAATTTTGCTTCGTACGAGATTTTAACACAGAGAGCTACAGAATCAAACAACCACGTTGGCTTGGAATGTCCAATCTAAGTACGTGACGCCTCAGTGAGAATATTTCCCTACCTGAATTACTAGCTTACTGCCGCCATAATAAATTCCACTACGTGCCTCAATTTTGCGCATCTTATTTATATTAGGTATTTGTTGTCGTATTCGTGAAGCATCAAAGGACAATTTGGAGCAAATAAACATGGAAGTTTGAAGTAAACAGAGTACAGATTTCCGACTAAGTGCGCCAAATAATGATATTCTCGAAGTTGACATTTTGTTTATATACGATGCTGATGTTGATTTTCGGCATCTGTAGAGAGGACAATGAAAGCAATCGGAAAAAAGGAATCCATACTATCGGTGGCATAACAGATTTGCTTCCTATTCATTTTATTTTAACAATATAAACCAGACAATATTTTAAGTTTGAGCCTAAAAATAGATACCTTTTCCAGTTAAAAAAATATTCCACGCAGGTCCCATATTAAAAACTTAACTTCTTATGCGCTTTACTGTGTCTTCTCAAGACCTCTGAATTCAAAACATGCAACTTTCGCCGTCAGGTTCTGTTTTTGCGCAACGATAAGAATCCAAAATAGGTGGATGCAAAAGTAAAGCAGGTGTCAGAAGACTCTGAACGTAGCATTATGCGTGTCAAGACTGTTGTTTATTCTTACAGGAACTAATTGAAACCCTTATCAGTGTCGTTTCCTTTGGCGGAAACCTGTTGGTTAATGTCGGTCCTACATCATGGGGCACAATCCCACCTATCTACGAGGAACGCCTCATGGTCATGGGACGCTGGTTAAAAATAAATGGCGACGCCATTTACAGGACTGCTCCATGGCAATATCAACAGGACAGCAAACGGAAGAAACTGTGGTAAAGTAAATTTAATTACTGGGTTAACACTAATAACTTAATTAGTATTCTGAAAACTATGCGTAAAGAGGAAACGGTATTTTCCCTGTATTTATTGGTAGTCAACCAAATACAAAAGCTGCGGCACATGTGCACGTGAACGTATCTAAGGCTCGAGTGAAGTCGTAATTGTAACTTTCAGGATCCTATTTTCTTAATGCGCTTAAAAATTTTATTGTGTTGTTCAGGTATGTTCAGAAGAAGAATGGTGTCGACGATCCAGTAGTGTATGCCCTTTTCGCGGACTGGCCCACTGGCTTGAAGCAAACACTCACACTCTCTCAGGTAAAAGCAACTGTGGGGCGGTCATCATTTACTCTGCTGGATGGCAAAAATGGAACGGCATTGACGTATACTACTGACCCGGTGAATGGTTCCGTGACAGTCACTCTGCCACCCACGTCACCAGTTGAGTGCTTCATTGCATGGAGCATACGAATGAAATTTGTTCAGCCCATTTGACAGGATCACTACAGGCTTAACCTCTTAAAACCACTAAGCGGTTATACATTCAATCATTTCTTCGAAAGCGAAGATGCCAACTGATTATTCATAGCAGAAATTTAGAAAATAAAATGTCATGCAACTTACTTTGACGATCGCAGAATTGCAACAGTGCTTGACAGTTTTACGCGAAGAAGGTTCACATTGGTTCATCACCACAGACAGCGACAGTAGAAAGTGGTTTCCAGAAGAAGCATGTTGCATTCTTAATCTGAGCATTTTTTAATTATTATTTTTGGTTAAGGTTACAATTTCTTTCAAAACTATTTTACAGTAATTTTATAGTGCTCTTGCGTTAAATTAGTCCCAAACAAATTATCCTGCAACATGCAAAGATAATTATGACGTCAGTTTTTTTAATAAAATAACCTGTACACTCAGAAAGGTGGGTTTATATAACGAGTTTCGGGTTGTTCGAACTTCAACAAATTTATTTATTGTTGATGTTTTTAGGCCAAAAGTAAACTGTAATTCTGAGAGCTAAGACTTTGCTGGATTAAGAAACTGCAATATTAAATAGCCAAGTAAACTTATGTTATTCAGAGCATGTAAAAAATCAAGAAAAGGCAGATATAATATGTCATTAATATTAACCAAAGTAAACAGTAAAAATGGTGACCTTACTATAAATTGGTATAGGCATTGCAGGTAGCTATCATGTTCGTGGAAAATGTCTGCTCTGAGGAAATGTACATATATGCTTCTTAAGTCAACTATGGGGCGCGTGAACCCACACAGTGATAACGGTCTGATTGGAGATCTTGTGACTGCCTAATTCGAAGTACCTAGGGAAGATTATGATGCCCAACGGAGACAAAAGGTCAGTCGTTTATTGGGCCCACAAGAACGCTGTCGTCTACGCACGGGAACAAAAAGATGTCCGAAGGTATGAAGTCAGCAAAGATTTGAGAGCCATGAGCAGAAGAGAATATACGTAGAACGTAATGCATAATTATCTACTGATAACCCCCGCAGACTTAAACTCACAATTCTTGCATTAGGGGTAATAAAATGAGGCCCTGTTGTAAGCATGGACTATCAGAAACTGCGCATAAAAATTCCAATTCTTATCAATTTTCTGGCAGTTTTAACCTTTTCGTATATAATTTTTTGCCTGGGTTTAGTCCTGATATTATTGCAATAATTTCATCTATATTTGTTTGTAATTATTGTCCCAGCGCACAAAATTGAGATGAAGTATTTGACAGAAAAGTTGTTAATTAGGATCAATAGCACAAGCAACTCCATAATTCAAGAGCAGAAATGTACTTACAGATGGCCAATGTTAACTGCGAACTCACGTTTTGAAACAGACTTACTAAGTCATCCGCAAACACATTGTACTCAGTGAAATAAGAAAAAAATCGGAGGTGGCAGAAGATTAACTATTTATTTGAACGCTAAGACAACTGCTGGAAATTCATTGAATTCACCTCACTCTTTGGAAGCAAAGACATGGGTAAGGAAGGAAAACACATTTAAATGATGCAATTGCAGACTGGATAGTTCAATCGATTTATTTATTAGTTATTTTTGGCTAATAAAATTAAGCGAAATTCGAAGATGCCAAATTACAAGGATGACGTTTGCCCTCACTAAATTAAAAAACTTCGTACAGGCCCTGCCTTGTTGGATATACTGAGGTCAATCGCCACGCGAACTCAAAAGTGGTTATAAATCCCGTTAATTAAGACTGAGTCTTGAACTTAAAAGTGGCTTTCCTGGATCCATTTTGGAAATTATATGTGGAATCATTTACGAAAGAGCTTCACAGTAGTAAAATTAAATAGAATTCTACTCGTAATAATCTTGCAAGACGTATTAAGAGAGTCGAAAATCAATTCGAGTGATATGTTGATGGGGTCTTGGTCAAACCTAGAAATCAGCGATTAAGATAAGGTAATATTCATTAACTAGAAATCGTATTCTTCACTTACTTAGAAACAGGTGCAATTAAAGCAATTTACAATTTATGCATATATTGCATATATTTTACTTTTCTCATCAGAAATAAGCTTTCATCTATGTGAAAAACATTGCTATTTTAGGTAAACTTAATGACCACCGGAACCATAAAATCAGAGTACGTGATGTATTTGACATGACAGATTATTCCCTTTTTCAATACTAATGACCGCAATACAGGTGCTATTAAAAATCATGTTAAATGCCGAAAGATTCGTAGAGCTAGTTTGTTTGAGGTCTGGCATAGCGTTACAGTCAATATATCTAATTACTCAAGGCGTTGATTTAATTGAGATAATTAATTAGCTTAACTGTTTTTTAAACGGTGCTGGTTTTAACTGTGACATGATGGATTCAAAAGTTCATTGAAGAGGAACTACATTGTCAAAAGGCGTAATCAAAGCCAGATTCTTCGCTTTCCTAAGTTCTTTTGAGAAAAGGCTATAATATTACAAGAAGGCGAAAAAATTTTGGGTGTTCAGATTATACATCAATTTATCGCTGGGCAAATCCGTATGACTATGTCAACCTCCATCGAATTTTAGCGATTTTAAAGCAAATCAAGTCAGGTCACTGGAGTAAAATTGCAAATCATCAGCTCACTCATATTTTTTACTTAATTAAAATATCCAGACATATTTCTTGTAGCAAATGTATGCGAAATCTAATATAATCGTTGAATTTGTTTTATTATCCTATTGACCTTTAGCATATTTGTAAAAGAAACCGTCGGGGTATCTCCTTTTCCTAATTTGGGATGCGTAAGTTATGCTTGTTGCACTAGCATTTTGGTGAAACCTTTCGTAAATAGCAAACTTTTTGCTCTGAAATTATGTAATTGACCGGAGGAAATTAGTTCCTACTGGATATATATTTTCAGCTGAAAACAATTAATTTACAACAACTGGTCAAAAAAACGTTGTTGCGTAAAAACCATAAATTCAAAGTTGGTTGCATGGGATAACTACCTGTCTTCGCCTGGTCTTTAAGCTCGCAATTATAACTCTTAAATTGTGGCATTGCATAACGAACGTAAGCATGATCAATTTGGGGTATTTGTTTCAAATGATTTGTGTTTTTTACAAATAGGAGTAGTATAAGTTTCTTGATACGCTTTAGGGTCCTTAAATTTCTAATTTTTTTCCTTTTAAACGAACAAATTACGGTATAAACAATCGGGAGCCTGTACACGTTTTTCCGACAAATCATTTTTTTTCGAGTACTTGGCTTTTAGAGCTGGTTACCGAAGTGTCTGTATAATGTCCGGTAATAATGAGGAGTCACCCAGTATGCATTTGTTTTTTTATTTTGCTGAAAATCCTCATCGTATTCCGGAACCTTTACTTTAGACAGTTAGTTGATTTCAGAATGCTATTTCTCCATAAAATTAACATTGATTAGTAATCGATTTGAGTTAATCTTAGTAAACGTTTGTTTGTTCACGAAGCAGACCTTCTTCGTTATTAAGTTTTCATTACCGCAAAATTTTTGCAAATGATTTTGATGCTAAATATGCTTTATGCGTTACATCCATCTGCTCCCAATTTTCTTTTTAATTTCCCTGTATTCCAAGACATCTCATGACTCTAAAGTTGTATCTTTGTGCTTGTGTTTTGTCCATAGACAAGCTTGATGATGCTCTTCTATACGTCAACATTAACAACTTCATTCCCTTTTTGTTGTTGTCAATTTTAGCTCCCAAAAGGAAAGCTGTTTCGACTACCATAAAAACTGCTCCAGAGAAGAAGCGGAAAACCACTGCTCGAAGTAAAAATCCAATTTTTCTTATTTGGCATCTAGATTCTAGGGATAAGTCACCCGACAATGTTAAAACATCCGACAGTCCTAACGACAAACCTCAAAGTGTGATATCGAACTTTTGTTTACCTCTATTTAGCAACAAAGGTGCTTATTAAAGGAAAGGTACCTGTTGATCCCCAGTGCACTGCTAAAGTCGATTCAGCGCACGTCCTACAAATCGATGATGATGTTTACCATTTCATGCTTAACCAGGTTTGTCTCATTACCATGCCTTCTAATAAAAAGCCATATTTTTGCCTGGAGTCACTGGCAGTAAGGATTTCTTTTGACTTGGGTATCTATCCAGAAGGGTGAAATCAATGGAAGTGTGCTCCAATTTATTATTCACATTGTCACATTTGGCACCCACGTGTTCAAACTTTGCTCTTCTAAGGAATCCCATACTTTCATTGACCTGTTTAATAGGCGTACTCTTCTTCGAAAAATAACATTTTTTCCTTGTCTTCGAATTTGCAGACAAACCTTCAACATAATAACAACAAGTATTATGTGGGCCAAGTTCTACGAGACGATTTCGGTGGTGGCTATGCGGTATGGTTTCGTTGGGGACGTGTTGGCAAGACAGCACAAACGTCACTGCAGCAAGTTTTCGCGCAAGATAGGGCGATCGCACTTTTCAAGTCAAAGTTTCGCTCAAAAACTGGTAATTTATGGGAGAATAGACACAATTTTACCAAAGTCAGTGGTCTCTATGATCTGATTGAGCAAGATTTTGGGGTAAGTTTGAGGTCTGGTTTCCGTTCCTACCTCTGTGTTTGAGCATGGAAATAAACTAGATGACATTTATGTTTTAATTCCTCCGAATCACGGAACATTATCCATGTACTCACCGCTAGAGCCTTTTTCGCTATTTCACAGTAGATATTGTAACGTTTCCCCCGAATTAGTGGTACTTGCTCCTTTTTTGTCACAAACACGTTACTATCTTTAAAGGAAGTCGAGGATGATACCAATGATAATGACACAAAAGAGGAAGCGCCCAAGAAGCAGGTTGAATCCCTACTACCTCCCGAAGTTTTTGTAAGTTATGATTAGTGTAGTTCAAGTAGTTTGTTTTTTCGTTCAACGCTACATATTTGGTTGGATTTTAAGGTCTCTCTGTGAGGAACCTGTCATTAAAGAGTTTACTGTCGTGGTTGAAGTTTGGTAGTGGCTCACGGAAACCATAACAGTTCACACTGAGGCTTACGTTCACCATATTTTACAAAAGTTCGTGTGGTGCCTTCTCTAATTTGCTTGCGTTTAGTCACAGTTGCTTATATCTAGAATTCAAAGGAAGTTGTCCACATCTCTTGACAGCTTTTTCAGAGGTCTCTTCTAAAGACCTTGAATATAGTTTACCCCACTATGCATGACGTTTTAATTTTTCTTCGGACGTGACAAACATTTCCCAGATAAAAATGAACAAATCAATCATGAATAAAAGCTCGTCTCCTGACAAGTAGTGGCTTTCTGTTTGAAGTCCGTTGATGCGCCTGCTTGAATTCAGGGGGAGAGTTTGATTTGTGAAAGGCCATTAAGGCTTTAGATTTGCGTAAGGCAGTGGAATCCGTTCATACCATCGAGATTCACCGTTTAAGGGGAAATCGCCTCAAGTGTACCCTACTTTCCTAGGCCCTGATTGCGCTTATTAGTGACGTGCGGGACATGGAGAGGCAGATGCGTGAAATGAATTACGACGCTCGTCGTGCACCCTTAGGGAAGTTGACTCAGTCCCAAATAAAAGCAGGCTACCAGGCGCTAAATGACGTCTCGGACTGCTTAGAGGAACTGAAGAAACTGACGGCGACTGATTCGACGACCACAACAGGAAAGAAAACAAGGAACGTCAAACGGAAGTCATCAGATGCTTCACTGAAGCGCGCTATTCAAGACCGCCTGCTTCAGGCATGCAACAACTTCTACACCCGGATTCCGCACGACTTTGGGTAATTCTTCTGACTTAAATTGATACAAAGTAGTTTTACTGGTGCTCGCTCTAGTTGTCTGCGCACGAAAACTTTGCCCGTTTCAATCAAAACTTACGAGCATTGTTTCTGTAATCTGAATCAGTTCCAGTTTTTCTATGATTTTATGTCCTGGGTGTACTTTTGGGTATAGGTGAGGCAAAAATCACAGTCACTCAGTATGTTTGCGCGTGCATTTATCAGCCAGGCTCAGCTGAATTTTTATTTGTCATGCTAGCCTTCACGGTTCAACCACGTAAAATTTTTATAATTACCTAAAATTAGAAAAATTCTCAAGAACCCTTTAAGAATCCTGTACTCATGCAGCTAAAACAGCTGCGAGTGGAGACGTGTGTGCTGCGTGGTGGCGTAACACCTGCAATAATCAGTGATTTATGAAAGTCTCTTCTCGTAACTTAGTCGGCGATTTTCTGAAAAAAAGTGATGACGACAAGTCTACCATTGAAAGCTTACCAAAACTTGACAAGTTTGGTTTTTGGGTTCCTCAAGTACTCGCCGGCGCACACAGGACACAGTGCTGAGTTCGAGTCATGAGTCGTCCTACGAGGCAACAACATGCTCAAAATTTTCTGTCAATTAATGGACGTGTGTGCGCCAATCTGGTAGACATTTGGGAGCTAAGTACTTGAAGAATTATTGAAATGTAGCAAAATACCTATGAATAATCAGTTTTTCGAGCAGATTTAAAGGTTCGAATGCAAACTTCAATAATTTCCCAGATAAAGGGTCTGACTCTGTGTTCGTGCGTCACCATCTGCTGAAGTACTCACGAAGAAGCCTCAATGCTCAGTTTTAACTCCTCCACAATGTTAACCTGATTGTGTGTACGGGATGACTCGAGGATGGATGACAAATTTCAAGCTCCTGTGGAAACCTAGTGTAAATAAAAAAGTTGGTTGCTCATATTCCACTAAGCCCTCACAGGATGTATTTTCGTAGTTACTTAAATGCGGGAGTGCGTTAGGGTTAGGGTAGTTTTAAGTTAATGACCGACATTGGTTTCAAACCGGCCCTGTTGGCGATTGAGATGTAAAGGGACTCCGTATATTCGGCTAGCGAAGGCCTTGTACATGTAGTTCGTTTTACCTCCGGAGAATGAGTCATTTACTTGCTGTATTAATTAATCGCTTTCATGCTCGGTGTGGAAGGCCGTGCACATCGGTTTTACATGCATTACTTATGAGAACCCTCATCTAACTTCTAATGGCAAAAATGGTTAGTCATGGCCCTCAAGTCGAATGCATGACAGCCGATAAATTTCGTCACTGCGATGGACCTTTTTTGCTCTTTATTCTGCCAGACCTGTTTAAACCTGAATTGAAGAGATGGTGCATGCGCATGCAAACTGAAGCGGGTTTTAGGACCTTGGTAGAGTCGTCTGAGCAAGCACTCCTGCCACGATGGCTACTCGCGTAACGTTGTGGCGGCAACAGGCATTTACGCGGGGCCCCGGCTTGGACCTTATCATCTCACCATTTACACTCATTTCCCGGGTTGTGCGGTTGTAGAGTTAATAGTCCATTACATTTTTAGCTAAAGCCAGTCGATGCATATTTATTATTTGCGAGGTATCATCTTAAGTAAGGAATTATCCGTCTATCGGAGCTCAGGAGCTCTGACCAAACAGGAAAACTGAAACCGCATTTTAGTGTAAATTCTCAACCTCAGCACAAACATTAGGTGTCCGTAACACCTATTCTTCCAGCGATTGTTTTCTACGTAAAACAAATCGATAAAAATAATGGAAGTACGATTTTAATTCGTTCTCAAGCCATCAAAATTTATTATCGGGTCAAGTAAATTCGGTTGGTCGACAGCTTTGGTGATTTCTGAATCAGACGCCTTCTTTGGAATATGCCTGACTGCCCTTTAGTCAAAATTTCTCCTTTTTAACATTCGGGATTTTGTTTACGTAATTCATATTTGTGTACCCTTACGACACTTTCCTATTGAAACGCATTTAACTCGAGTACCTTAAAACGGAAGTCAAGATTTATCAATTGGACGGAGTGGGTCGTATTGCAGTTTCAATGTTTCACTTTTGCAGAATGCGTGTCCCACCGTTGATAGACACACCTGACGCCCTAAAGACGGAGCTGGATCTTCTCAAGGCTTTGGAAGATATTGAAGTTGCCTTCAGCATAATCGAAATGGACAAAAATATCACGGATCTCCATCCTGCAGACAGGAATTATAATAATCTTCACTGTGACATCAAACCAATCAAGGCTGGAGCTAAAATGGAAAGGGTATGTGTGTTTCGCACACATTGCGTACGCCGATTAGTTCAACGCACCTTCCTGAATTTGTGTGGAGACTGTGTAATACAAAGTGTTTATCTTCATGGTCTGCGTCATATTTTTCAGCTTGCGAAAAGTAACTCAGTGCTAGAGCTGACATTCCTACTAAAACGGGTCTCAAATTCTATTCCTCCCTGAGGTTTCCTACTAAGACTTCGTATCAGTCAGAATCTGGCCTATGTAAAGTTGCTTAAGCATTTTTACATTGCACACAAACCCACGTCACCGGTTGCTGTAAACTGTTTCTTGGCTAGCACACACCGCAATTCAAATCAGTTACATATGTCTCCGTTTGTAGATAATCAAGGACTACATTCGCATGACTCACGCCCCGACACACGATTCCTACGAGCTCGAAGTGCTGCAGACATTCGAATTATGCAAAAGCGGCGAGACTGAAGTTTTCAAAGACTATGGTAGAAGGTATGTGTATACTACGTTTTGCCACGCCGTGCCTCTTCCCTACTTGCAGGCTAATGTGAAAATGTAGAATGTGCAGTGGTTCTGGTATCTGCGCATCAAAAAGTGTGGAATAAGATGGTAGAAAAATTCAACACTAAGTTAGTAAATACCAAATGCCCAGTAATGCAAGTTCTGTTTATAAGAAATGAATCACTGGTAATTAATCGAAAATTAGTAAAGTCCCATCAATTAAACTAAATACAGACATCATCTGGTTTATAAATGTTATTGGTTTTCTTTTGCAAATACGGGCATCGCGGATAGGTCCCTCGAATTGCAATCCTGAAATCGATTGCATCAAAATTCCCGGAAGTTGCGGTACCGTCTGCAAAATGTTCTTTATCCAGGAGAAATTGGAGGATAAGTAATACACAAACGGTCACTCTGCACTTTCTCAAACATTGCTTATTAATAATAACTGGTTAATAATGCGATGTATTCATTTTGTTTTATTGCTTTCAATTCAGATGGCTACTGTGGCACGGAAGTCGTATGTCAAATTGGATGGGAATTCTCGGTCGTGGCCTGAAGATAGCCCCTCCTGAAGCCCCGTCTACGGGCTACATGTTTGGCAAAGGCGTCTACTTCGCCGACTGTGCATCTAAGTCGGCTAACTACACACACGTCACGTCCAGTAATGACATCGGCATAATGGCCCTCTGTGAAGTAAGAAAATTCTCTCCCCCTCTCGCCTCCCTAACCCTTCTCCCATGCAGTAAAATCTCCATTTGCCACATATTTTAAACAATTACCGTATTTGCTCAATTTTGCCTTCAATTCATCTCAGCCCATGCACTCATTCCTTGTTTGCATTCTTCACTTTGAACTGAATTGAATCTAGCCTTTTGGAGAGCATTTAGGGAGGTCTAAGATTAAGTGGGTGTCCGGGTGTTTGAGTGACTGCTACTCCAGCGATCAGTGGCCCACCTGCTCTTGCCCCTGTCCGCCCTCTCCCTCCCTCCTCCCTCTATAGCTTTACGCTAAAGTAAAAAAAGGTTTTCTTTTGAGGTCACAGTTAAATTAGGCATTTACGAAGTTACCTCAACTTGCTCATTGTGCGCCGTTAGCACTTCCCTTTAATGTTGAGAACATTTACTAAAAGATCCTTTTATTGTAGATAGAGTTGTCCATGAGGTGAGTCGAAGGGCATATCGCCGCATGTATATTGTTTCTTTTTGCTACCAACCCTAGCATCAACCTAGCAACCCTAGCTAAACAACCTCTTTGTAGTTTTTCATTTTACACGCCTGCAGCGATCGGGAAAAAAAGAATGCAGACACAGTTGAAAGGCAAAATAGTGAAAGTGGTAGTTAGCAGGTAACGAGGGGTGACAAGGTTATGTCAATCGAAAGGTGCATTTTTGTTCAGGTTTCGCTAGGAGAATGCAATGAGCTTTTGAATGCGGACTACAACGCCAACAACCTGCCGTCTGGAAAACACAGTGTCAAGGGCCTCGGTAGTCACATGACGGATCCCTCCACGTGGATTACCTTGTGAGCTCCCGTTTCTTTCTTGTTTTGGCAGTTTTCAAAGCACACCTCCTTGAAAAATCAATAAGCGGTGCATCTGTTAACAGAAAAAGTGTAGAACACCAAATCACTTTATAAACATGACATGCAATGTCTCTGCAATTATCTGTAGCAGATGAAGTCTCAACTGTTTCGGTGGTCGATTCACTATGTCCTCTTTTCGTTCCGCGGTGTGATTGTGCGGCTATATTGTAATACGCCTTTTGAAAACCCAAAAGGATGAAGTAGGGTTACAGCTTCTGTGAGTCCTAGGCTTTGACGCCTCGTTTCACAATTAGCGTTTACAATGGCACACGGTCTCCGCGGTAACATTTGCTACATCCGTTGACGAGTTTGATCGCAACTTATCGTGATTATCGATAACTTAACTTTTAATGATTCCGTCTATGCCACCTGTTTATTTTCTGTTTTGACTTCTGAATGGCGCAGTTGTTGAGGGCTTAGGCGCAAGTGTGCGCGTTGGGATTTTGTCATGTTTTACGCATTTGTTGCAGGGATGATGGAGTGGTCGTGCCATCTGGAAAAATAATCGCCTCGAACGTTAAGGATGCTTGCCTTTTCTACAATGAGTATATTGTCTACGATATACGCCAAATCCGCCTTCGATATCTTGTCCAACTAAAGTTCCACTACAAGTATTAAACCCTACCTTGTATTTGTAACGTTTGCTTCAGCTTAATCTGTGTTTTTACGTATGTGAATTTTGCCAGCAAATAGTAATACAGCGCTGATTGAGTACTTTTACGTAACGTCTTATGAAAAAGCCCTGCACAAATCTTTTGGAATATGTTATCCATACAACCTATTTATTTTCAACCTAATAAGCCTTTTCGTAAAAGACGATCTGTGTATTTCACATTGCTTTCTAAATATTTAGTGAATCTCGACCACCTTAGATGACTACAAATGGAAGTTATTGGATATTGTGTAACTTCGGCGTTGGAAAACATCGATTGTAAATGCATAGAATTCTATCATAATTTAAGCCTGCGGAATATCTAAGCACATGTGTTGCATCAAAAGGCAAGTTGGCATCTAGCCACCTCACTCTGCGTGTAGTTCGGTAAAGATTTCGATGACTACACAGTTTTACATGTAATTCTTAGTAATTATGAGCAAAAAATTCCACTGTTCCATGTGTACACTTTTTGAGAATAAATTTGACTTCGAATTCGTTTGTGTTTCAACTTAAATTAAAAATTAGACTTATGTAGTGACCAAGAAAATAATTTTTTACTAGAACAGAAATCGCATGTCGGTAATTCGTGCAGGCATGTTAAAACCTAATCTGTAGGTAAAAGGATTAAGGTAGCACTAAATATTTGACTCTAAATTACTCTAGCTGGAAAAGACAGAGGCGAAATGTAGACCATGCCCTCTACACACTTTAGATATATTGAACAATATTCGCTAGAATGTATTGATATCTCTGCAATAATTAGATGTTCCAGCATCGCATGTTAACGCTCATTTAAAAAAAGTTATGTACAAATCCTGAATATTCTATTTTGTCATATAACAACAAAATATGTAATTCTCGATTATAATTTATAATTATATCAATGACGTATAAAAAAAATTAATGCCTGTTGATTTTCTTCACATTACAAATTGGCATGCCCTTCCGACTATCCGTAGAACCAAGGGGAATGCAGGTAAAATTTATCAAAAAACTTGCGAGCATCTGCAACAATTATTATTCAGTAATTTTAATAATTTTAATTTCCATGCGTTTGAATCAATTTATCCATTTGACAAAATATTAAAAATAGATAATTAAAAGTATCAGTTCTGTGCTATTATTTGCTTTGCCTTTCATATATTCTCAACGTTGCTCATATTTTAAAACTGTTTTAACGAACAATTTAATTTTACTGCAGGTCAGTAGAAACTTGGCACACTTTCGAGTCCAACGAGTTTACGCGATGTCCTTAAATACTCCTGAATATTCTTTTGTTGTGTCAGATCTTTTGGGGAACGTTCCAGCTGATAAGAAATTTATGAATTTACTTAGTGAGTAAATTTGAAGTATGATAACGTCCATACTGCTTTCAAACAATAATTAATTCAGTCTGTTGTCGGTGACAGACTGGTAACATTCTAATTTATTTTTACATATTTTAGAATAGTTAAACACCTATTAAGCGTAAAATATAATAAATTTTACCATAATGCAATAATTTCTACTCATTTTCTAATATTTGAGTTCCCTTATTTTGATGCGAATAACTTGCGACGCTCGAGAAAGGACGGACATGTGTTATCAACAAATTTGAGTTATCATAAATCAATCTCCATGTATTAATTTTTTAGCTACGGTTGTCACTGATATTGACGACAGTGGTGCACAATAATCCTTTTGCGATTAGTCATGGCTAAGAAAATTACTTTTGGTGTCAGATCAAAATAACTTGAGCGCGTTCTTTTTTTCCTTCAGTGCCACCAGGCAAATCCAAAATGGCATGTTGACTTTAATTTTGCATTTGTATAATAGACACAACGATAACCTCAAGCAATCGCATTAATTTCGACCGTATATGTTCAAATTTTCGGTGGACTCCACGGAATTATGAGCTGGCTGTCGAGGTATTGAGCCGAGCTGTTGATGTTTATGCTGCATATGATCCAAAAGCAACCACAAATGCTTTACAGATATGGGAGTTTTGCATGAATCAACTGCCCATTGACTTTGCCTGTCTCACTGCAAAACCAAGACCGCTTCAGGTTCTTGTCGATTGTGTTTTACCCCCCAGGTCTGCAACTATAGCCATGCCAGTAAAGTTGAAAATCCTAGATATGATTCAGGTAGGTCAATTGCCATCATCCTTTGAGCTAGATGCTTAAGAAATGAGCTTATGTAGTTCTGAATTTCATTTATATGCAATCAACAAAGTAAAAAAGAACTAGGTGTTGAAATAGAATCCAGCCGATTGCTTTAATGTGCTTCCAGCAACTGTCTTTATACCAAAACTAACTCCTAGAATCCGAAATATATTTCATCTGTTGCAGTTGATGTATTTGAGCTGCAGTTTTACTTTATTGTTCGTCCCTAACTTTTATTATTTTAGACGTGGGCAAACATGTCCAATTCCTACAGAAACCTACGCATATTTAAAATGGTTTATGATAAACTTCGTGAAGCCAGAATCATGTTTCCTGAAAAGGTTTGAGAAAATTATTATGTTGGTATATTTTACCATGCCCGGTACATTTACTAGTTACAGAATTTATATCACTTCTTTTATGTCATGTTTTTTCCGAAATTATACAGTGCACAAAGATCTCCAGTATTTTTGCAAAATTGGTGTTCATACACACTTTTCTCCATCCTTCTCCTTTTGTGCCTTTCATCGGCTTCAGAAGGAGGAGAATAACACCGTAAATATTAATGTGTAAGTAATACAATTATATAGTATCAAATAAAAATTGTGATGAAATACGTATTGATTATTAGTGAAACTTGCTACTCAAAAGATGGATAGTATTGTAATTGGTGTAACTAAGATGTTGGGACACGAATCAATTAAACTTCTCAAATTGAGCTTGTCCCAGTAGGTGCAACTCTCCAAAGCTATGATCGAATTTTGTTTCACTTTTAGAGACCTACAAGTTCTGGTAATGCCATTGACCGAAAGCATTCATCCTCCGTAAGTTCAAGCGAAGGTTATGTGAGTTGTCTTCGTAACAACATCGAAAATCTCCGTCGTGCTACTGAAAGATTACAGTCAAAAAAGGATGCGAAATCAAAGGTAGGAACAGGTTCGTGTTATACCGTAAACATCCTAATAGGCCAGAGGGATAATTGTTAGGTCACAAACAAATTTCAGTGATACTTTAGTGAATAAAGCCAATGACTGAGTTTTCTTGCCTGTCTTGCATGCTAATATAAAATTTAGATATGAAGAACTACATTGCAGACTAAGCGATGTCCTTGAATAATGCCTTACAAGGCGACTTTTAATGGAAACTTGTTTAAGCATAAACATCCAATAAAACACCTGAAATCAGTTGGTATAAATGCCTAAATTTGGCATCTGTCATACATATTTAGCAACTTTTTATTGCAATGTAACAGCACATTAGCGCGCTTATGCCTGATGCATAACATGCTACATTCTAAACTGGGTTCAGTATTTTAATCCTTTAATCAAACGACTTTTTGATCAAAGGTAAATGTTGAGGCGTTTTTAATGGTTTTTTTTATAAAATACACGGGTTTACTTTGATTTGCAAGCTAACTTCTTTTCCTTTCGTGTCAGCGTAATGTTATTAGGCGCATGGCTTAATTTATACAGATTTTTCAGTAAACTTTTCTAATATAAAATATGGAAAACAGCAAACTTCATTTTGGAAATATTGCCCATCGTTGTCTATGACTTCGCACTATCTCTCAAAAGAAACTTGCAGGCTTCGAAGCATAAAAGTCATTGACGAATTTACGCACATAAATTAGCGTTTTGAACTGTTTGTGCACTAAGGCGTGCTGCTGCAGTGAGTGGAACAAATGGTCGTCGGATGGGGCCAAGTCTGGTAAATATGTCGCTTGTGGGAGAACTTCCCATCCCAGCTTCAAGAGGGTCTTCTGAGTCGTGCGAGCAGCGTGAGGTTGAGCGTTGTCAAGTAGCAGTATGACTTGAATTCTTCCTTGCATATTAGATGATCTTTTCGAATCAATATCTTCTCTCGGTTTGTTCAACTGTCGGTTGTAACGTTCCGCAATCTCCGTGTGGCCAGTTCTCAGGAGTCCGTAATGAAGTCCCAAAAGACACACAGTGGATGTCATGTTTCAGCGACGATGTGCTGGGTTTCACAAGGAGTCCTTTTTCGTTGCTAACGGACAAGCTGTGAAAGGCATGTGTTCATACGTTGATCTAGGTTGTGTTCGGCCAACACATGTGGAACCCAACTTCCAAGTTTTCGAATTTTTCCCGTGCCTCCTAACTGAACTGCAAGCTGCTGCTGTATTTGCTTGGAGTCTTCATCCAGGCTGTCGGGGCCACAGCTGGTCAATATGATCAAAATTACCACTTCAAAACGCTCGTACTAATGATTGCACGTTGCATAAGACACAACCTCGGCCCCAAGAACATTACAAATTGATTCCTCCTGTGTTTTAGAAGCATTTTTTTCTTGTTGGAATTCGTATAAAATGCAGTGCCATCGAATATACCACTTATCAGTTGCCACGGCATGCTCAACTATTCTGAGAGGGTATGTAACGTAGACTTGTCATTTAGTGTTCTGACGCCTCACGTCCGATCCTTTTAAAACCACAAAAGATTGCGAAAACAATTCTATTTAAATATAATTTTAAGCTCTAAGAAATAATCGGTAACAACTAAGTCTTGCACCGAACATATTAACACTTTGAAAGAACATAATGATCAGGCAAACAACTTTTTAGCATATCAGGATCGAGTAAGACCGGTTGATCTATCAATTTGCAGGAGGAACTGGTGAAGCAATATGACGCTTTTGCAGTCGCATTAAATCAATGGTATGATTTGGGAAAAGAAGCCGACAGACACCAGGAAATAACTAGACAGGCTTTATCGGCTGTGGATAGTGCCAATGCTGCCCTCAAAAACTTTGACAAAGGTGTTAAAATCAGTAAGTGGTATTTTCCTTTATGACACCTTCAT